CACACACACACACACACACACACACACACACACACACACACTGAGAAAAATAAACTCAACAGGACACAACAAAAAACCAACCTAGAAGGAAACGTGACTCAAGGAGAGGGGAGAAATGTTCTGCCGCTGCTTTGAAAATGAGCGTAAGAAGAGTGAATTGTTCGTGGTAAGAGAGCTACAAAGCAAACGGAAGTGAAGACAGATCACAGGCCTATGGAAGCAGATGGCTAACAAACCCACTGTGCTACAGATCTAAGTGCACCTGAGACACATCAAGAAACAGAGCTGAAGCAAAGGTCTGAGCAGAGTAGATGTTTGTTTAGCACGCGTGCTCACTGCTTGCTCGCCAGCACTGCTCTGAGCCCTTTACTAATGCTAACTGTTCATCCACGTAATAACCAGGAGTGAAGGACACTCTTTTCCTCCCTCTTACAATGCAAGTAGCAAGACAAGAAAGCTGACCACGTGTGCATGATTAGAAAGTGCAGATTTAGCCCAGAGCCTAAACACACTTGTAACCACAACCTCCCTGCAGCACCTCCCGGGTGCTGTTCTGTTAGGCTAAGCAGATGGCTCCTCTGTGGGGTCTAAAAACTGCTCCAGGGGCTGTGAGTGGCATTCTAGGGAGAGTTCACACCGCTGCTCCTTTACAGTGTACTTGTATTAAGTCAGGGTTCTCTGGAGAAACAGAACTGACAGAATGAATCGTGTGTGGTGTGTGTGTGTGTGTGTGTGTGTGTGTGTGTGTGTGTGTGTGTGTGTGTGTGTGTCTTACAGGTTGTGGTCTCTCTATTCAAACAATGGCTGACTCTGGACAAAACTTCCAATAGTTGTTTTGCCCACAAGGCTGGATGTCTCAGCTGGTCTTCAGCACATGGTGGAATCCAGAAGAAGTAAGCTCTGATACCAGGGGAGGAATGAACATGCTAGTGAGAGTGAGGGCAAGCAAGCAAGGGAGAGAGAGCTTTCTTCCACCGCATCTTTTAACTAGTCTGCCGCCAGAAGGTGTGGTTCAGATTTAGGGTAGATATGCTGACCTCAGATGATCTGGATTTTAGGGTGTGTTTTCCAGACTCAAATGATTTAATCAATAAAAATCCCTCACAGGCATGCCCAGCTTCTTAGGCTTTAATTAATCCCAGATGTAGTCAAACAGCCATCACAGTAACTCAGAAAAAAAAAAAAAAAAAACTGTTTTTCTTAAATATAAAAATGCTGCTCAGGGGCTGGAGTGAGAACTCAGCTAGAAAAGTGCTTTTCTTGCAAGCGTGAGGACCTGAGTCCAATCTCCTGAAACCTATAGAAAATAAAACAGGCATAGGAGAGTGCTCTTGTAACCTGCCCATGTGGAGGAATGCACTTGGAACATTTGTGTAAGTGTGTGAGACAGGGTCTATCTGTGTTGCCCTGGCTGTCCTGGACTCACTTTGAAGACCAGGCTGCCCTCAAACTGACATCGATCCACCTGCCTCCGCCTCCCGAGTGCTGAGATTAAAGGTGTGTACAACCACGCCCAAATTTCACTTGTAGCTTGTAACCTGTCCATTTGGAGCGTACTTGTAACCTGTCTGTGCAAAAGACACAACTCTTATCTTAAAGGGAATAAGATATAGTTTATTCTGGAGCTATTTTGAGTGACCATTTCCCAGAAACATCGATGGAGGTTACCCCAAATTTCATGTTCCAACATGGGAGCGGTTTCACAAAGTCTATAGTTTTACAGAACAAAGAAATCCATAAGTCAAGAATTTATTTTTTTGCTTTTTTTTTTTTAAACTTTACTAAAGGCCCAAGAAATTGTCTAAGTATATAATCTTAGCTTTTGAGTTGATGGAGGCAAGTGGTCTGCTAAGCTAATAGATTCCAAAATGTTTTTATCTGTTGGTTACAAGATGCTAGTTCCAGCAGGAAAGTGGGCAAGGACTGACTGTTCTCGGGAGGCACAGATGGTCATGAGACTGGACCTGCAGCCACCCAGGCTCTCGACAGCACTGCAGCTTTAACCAGGCAACCAGCATCTGCAGACACAGCCTCTTTCCTGGTGTTCTTGTTCACAAGCCCAATGCTAGGAAGACACAGAGAAGCAGAGCTGGGACTCACTGGCTGGCCAGCCTAGCCTACATGGCCAGGCTCAGGTAGGTAAGAGACTCTTTCTTTAAAGAAAGAACTTAAAACAAAAGTCACCAGTCACAGGGCCAGGAGAACACTTCCTGCTGAGCTGTGGGCGTGCAGTTGTTTGAGGAGCTGGTTCTGTTTCGTTTGTTCCTTCTCCCAAGCCCAGAGATGCCTTTGGCACATTCATCTGTACCTTCTCTAGCCCTGATGTAACTCCAAGAAGGTAAATCTGTGTGGAGGACAGCAGAACCAAGCAACTGCACAGCTCTGTTTCGAAGCCAAATCTTCCTCAGCACTACCTTCTTGGTAATTTCCCTGGGATTTAAAAGGGGGGAAACACAGAATGACACAGAGCCTTGTTGGGAGCCGAAAGACACTGGGGAATCCTGAGCACACAGCAAAGGCTGGAAGCCAATCCTGGTGTGGAGGGGTGTTCGTAGCTCTAGGGGAATACACTTAGTTCTGCCAATAATGCCCCTGCCTTCGAAAGACAAGTATTAACCAGGCTTCCCTAAGTGGAGAAAACCCTCTGAGACAAGACAAGCAGAGGGCGTTTAGGACAACTGGAGTGGCCACAGGGATGAGAGAAAGCAGGGATGAAACTAAGAAGGCAGGAGCAGAAAACTCTAATCACAAATGAAACCAGGGCAATTCCCTACTTGTGAACCCTCTGTATTACTTTTCTCCTGGCTGTGATGAAAATAACCTGGCAAAAAAAAAAAATTAATTTTGGCTCACAGTCTGAGGGTTCACAGTCCTGCGGTGGCAGGAACCTGAGACAGCTGCTCGCGATGCATCCAAAGTCAGGAAGCAAAGAAAGGTAAACGCTAGTGCTCAGCTCACGTTTTCCTCCACTCAGTCCAGGACTTCAGCCCATGGGATGGTGCCAACCACAGTTAGGGAGCCTCATCCCTTAGTAATAGATCCAGCTTAGAAAGTTTCTCCCCCGCATCCCTTAGGCTTGTCCTAAGTGACTCCAGACGCTGTCAAGATGACACTCAATGTTCGCACACCCTTCAATCTGGCTGTATCTTCTGGGGCAGGATTCAGGGGGAAACCTCTTCCCTAAAGAACATCAGCAAGTATGGAGACAGAGCTAAGAGGCCGAGGGAAACCAGCATATGAGACAGAAGGCAAGGGAAAGAGCAAGGTCCCCTAATAAAGGCAGGCAGAGTGGGGGAATATGACCAAATACAGCATATACACGCATGAAGTTCTCAAAAAACAAATACTTTTTTAAAATGATGAAGGCCATCCAAGAGGAAGGTTGGGGAATTCTAGGCCAGATCCAGAGCCCACCTGCATTCAACAACACCCTTGGTAGGTTCCATCCTTGACTTTCTGAGACACTGCCTTGAATTCACAAGTTCTGCTCACCCTGTTAAGACACTTGACTCTAGGCAAAGTGGCTTAGGGGAGGGGAGCATCTTGGAGCTTTCAACGAGGGCATGCAGTGGAGATGGCAGGATACCATTCACCCTGTACTTACACCCACACCCACACCCACTCCTGCCTTCCTGAGGCACCAGGCACTCCCTCAATCCTCCCAGCTCTATCCTCAACCTTGGGTATTCCCAGGAGGGACAGGCTCGTAGACAAGGGAGTCCAAGATAGCCGCCCTCCTGGAGACACTGCCGGGACCCTTACTCTGAACAGGTGCCCATTGCCAGCTGCCCCTCAGCAACTCTGTAGATACGATTGGGGAGGTCCAAAACGTTCAGAAGTTTGCCCTTTTCCTACCAAGCAGCCTTGGACCTGCCGCTAGGATGTTCAGTTATGTGGGCAGGCAGTAGCCCAGAATTCTCCCACAGAGATGGTCTGCAGTGAGGTTTGACGGTGCTCAAGCTTCCCTCCACCTTCATTTCCAGAGGGGTTGGCTTGCACCTGGTGGCATACCAGGCCACGCCCCCTCTTGCATTCCCAATGTACACACTCCCCTTAGCATGTTTTCTGTTCCTGTCCAGCGCCTTTTTCTCCCGTGACCCTGCACCAGCCACTCCCTGTGTCCTGGCCTCTCCACTCCCCAACCTAGGCTGCTAGAAACCCACGGGCTGAGATGGCTAGACACTCTTAGCAAGGAATTTTTCTTCTTCATCACTGCGCCAGATTCAAGGACCTCCTGGTCTGGATGAGCGAGCGGCACGCGCCCTCTAGTGTCCATTTACTGCCTTTGCACTGTCTTCTGGTCTGGGCTGAGAAGGAAAAAAAGGAAGGGAACAGCTCTGCAAATTGTCACTTCCGGGAGCTGATAGTCAGAATCAGTAGGAAAAAAGGACTGGATAGTGAGCTTCAAAACGAAGCAATGATATGTAAGTATCCTGAGTGTGTTAACACATGAATGAACCGCCACTGAAATGAACGCAAGCGCAGAGTGCAAGAACGGTACAGAAATGAGTCAAGGGTCTTGGGGGGAGGGGGAGAAACACTATTTTCAATTGACTCATTTGTATCAAAGAATCAGGCCAAAGATCATCTTGAGAGCCTAGAACTCTAAGTCCTTCTGGTTTCTGGTGCCTAGACACTCTTTGTTTTCTCTCATTTGTGTGTGTGTGTGTGTGTGTGTGTGTGTGTGTGTGTGTGTGTGTGTATGGTGGCTAAAGGTCATTAATGCCTTTCTTCCTCAGTTGGGCTCGACCTTATTTTGGAGGAAAGATTTCTCATTGTAATGGAAACTCAACAATTTGGCTAGGCCAGTTGGTCGGAGCGAGCTATCTACCTGTTTGCCCACTCCCCCAGCTCAGGGATTACTGACACACTGACACACCCAGTTTTTTGCCTGGAAACTGGAGATCTGAGTTCGGGTCCTCGTTTGCTTGGCAAGCACTTTCCATCCCACCCCTGTTTTTCCATCCAGAGTGTGACAGGGCAACACAGTGCGTCTTGTATTCTTGCTGAGGCCACTTCAGGCTTAACTAGAATGTGATCTCCCTGTGTGGTGTCCATAAGCGAAGACTGACTATGTGGACATTGGTTTAAGTCAATATGAAGTCTATTATTACCCAGCCGGGGACTGACTCAGTTAACAAGAACATTTAGCCAGAAACAGGACGACAAAGACCAGCAAGGAAGGTTTGTACAGTTAGAGACTTTCCCAGAATAATGGGCTTTGACTGATTAGGTCAAAAAGGGATTATCTGTCATAATCTTGGATCTTGCAGATGTCATGGCAAATTTAGCCTTGTGAGAGAGCCTTTGAGCAGGGAGCCTAGTTCAGCCAGACCCAAACTTTCAGACGTGAGGAAAGCATAATAAATAAATGTGAACCACGAAGTTCTGGCAAATGTTGCTTGAGAACTGGGGACTCTCACATGAGGACTCACACATGAATCTGTACTTGGAGGGCGTGATGATTGATCTGGATTGTCCATCTGGTAGAATTTAGAGTTACCAAGGAAACAAGCCTCTAAGCATGTCTGTGAAAGGCTCTCTGTATCAGGATCATTGGGATGGGTAGGAAGACCCACCCTGAATGCCGTCGGTGCCATTCAGTTAGCTAGGACTGATTTAACAAAGAAAGGATCCGAGTACCCACATTCTGCTTCCTGAAGGCAGGTGCAATGGGACAGCTGCTTCAAGCTCCTGCCACAAGGAGAGACTGTATCCTCTCAAACTGTGAGCCAAGATAAACCCTTCCTTTCATAAACCCTTCCTTTTGTAAGGTGTTTTGTTTCCACAATGAGACAAGCAACCAGGGAAATAGGATTTTGAAGGCCAGCCTGAAAGGGTGAGACAGCGGGAAATCGGACTTGCTTTAGCAGAGAACAGTTCTAGGAGACAGCACTCAGAATGTGTGAGAGAGGCGCGTAGAAAGAACTGAAAGTTGAGAATCTCTGTTTTGAATGTGCCTCTCAGATTTCATATGTTGGAAACATGATCCTCACATTCGTGTTAACACATGAATCATCAGAGAGTCCTCCCTGCCAAACACTTGTGGCCCTTTCTGAGGCAAGAGCTCAATCTAAGGCTCACTTGGTGATAAAGGCATGGATCTTAGTTTCGGAACCATCCGCTGAAGTCTAGGTTCTCATGTCCTGAGGCAAAGAACTGCTCCAGGAACACATTATATATATATATATATATATATATATATATATATATATATTTATATATATATATATATATATGAATTAGAGGCAATTAATTAAGAAAAGGAAAGCATGCATGTAAATGTGAGTGAGCTAGTGAGCTGGGAAAAAGGCATGCCCTCAAAAAGCCCTGGAGCGTGGGGCTTGTGACCTTTAGGTTATTGATAGCCGCCTCCTCTCGTTTCTATATCGAGACTTTTTCTCAAGCGTGTTTCCTGTAGCTCAGGTAAGGAAGGGTCTCTAGTCTTCCTCTCCCTGGAACACTGGAGGGTACAGGCTGGTCAGTGAATGCAATGCTCACCAGGAGCAGCCTCTTTCTTACAGCCGCTGTGGAGCAGACGGCAAGCCTGCTCCTGAGAGCCTGCCCCATGAGTGTACATGAAGAGACTCCTCTAGTGTCCAGAATCTGCAGTGATGGGAGCTCCTCTCACTTGCCCAAGAGAGTTTACACACCAGGTTTCCAGACTCCAGAATACCAGTGCAGATGGTGGGGGATAACGGAGGCCATGCCTCCTACCAGTATAATGACTATACTTCACCTAGACATGACCCTCCTCTTCCTCTCCCTTGCCTTTGCACAGTCCTACATCCCTAAGCCAGGATTTCTACCCCTTATGCTGTGAAACCTTTCCGCTTCCTCTAGGCACTCCATCTCCTGGGCCTGATCCTGGCCATGCTGCTGCTTGTCTGCCTGTATGTATGTCAGTGACATCAACAACTCTTTTAGTAAAGTTTTTACCCAAATAGACAATCCAACTCCATGTCTCGACCCCTCACCTCTGACTGAACCTCAGAACTTTCGCCACTAATCGGCTTCTTTCTTCTGTTGATGTTGCCACGTTCTCCAGTCTCTCTTCTCCTCCATGTTGGCTGTGACCCCTAAACCTGGATTGACCTCAGCTGACCCTTGCTGGGCCCCACGGAATTTACCTTTGTTCTACCACGAGAATGCCGTTCCCAGGGCAACCGTGTTCCATATGAGACTGTGAGTACATGGAAAGGACCTCAGAAAATGTTTCTTGCCTTGCTGCTCTGCCTCCTGCCAGTGACCAAGGGGAGTAGCTGCTTCAGGTGCTGGCCAGAGCTGCCCGCCTTGCTGGAGTATGACCTGCAAGTGCTCTGGGGTAGCCCCGGGCCACCCGCAGAACTCTCACAGAGGCTCCGCTCTTTATTCCTGGATGATAACACCTTACCCGTGCCCGGGTATCTTGGTGAGGCACAGCCGGGCAGGGATGGGAGCACCCTTTCATCTGACTGGATCCTGTCCACAGCATCCCTGTCCCCTGTCCCATCCCCAGCTCGAGACCACTTGGAAGAGGAAACAGCTGCATTCTTCACCCATCTAGACCACTCCATTAAAAAGCTGAGGGACGGTAAGGAAGACAAGTGTCCAGCCCCCAGGGGCTGAGTTGGATTACCTACACAGCATCCCCACGAGGTCACTTTGGTGGTGGGTAGGGAGGCTTCCTCAAGGAGCACAGTAGGTATCATTGTATCGTTATCCGTCCCATGGTGGTATAACACCACATCATTCTAGCACAAATGAGGTGAAGGTAAGGGGATCATTGTTGCGGTTAATAAAAAAGTAGGGTCGGATGATGTCTTATAATCTTATAATCTTATAATCTTATAATTATAACCTTATAATTATTTCAGCAGTATTGTCTAACCCGCTATCACAATCAATAAAGACACAGGCGCCTGATAAATTTTAGAATAGCCTCATATCACCTCAGGCATGGCAGATTTACCTCCTTCGCTGTTCTTACCCCCCAAGACCCCATCCCACGCCATCTGCTCTAATAATTTCTATTTGGGCTACCTCTCCTCTATAATCCCAAAAGACTTGTTAATGTTCTTCATCTTGGCCAATTTCCTCCATCTATGCCGATCTGGCCATGTGCTCCTCCCCACACTAACCCATTGCGGCTCTCTGCTTCTTTCCTCCTCTGGTACCTCTCTCCTCCTCTCCCAGGATCCTTCTGTCCCCAAACCCCTCAGACCTTAGCCACACCTGTCTTCCTTTGGCCCTGTCCAGGTGCAGGCTTCTTCTCAGTCCAAACGGGAATCATTTCTTTGGCAAGGCTTGCACAAGGACAGATGTGCATGAGAATGTGCTTGTCCGGGCGGCAACCACAGCTCGGGATTGGCACATCTCAGTAGTTAGCATCAGACTGACCCCCAACAGATCACAAATTCAACATCATCAGTGTGGGATGCATGAGACCAAGTTTGAAGGTCTGGAGAGGCTGGGAGGCTGGTCCAGGAGACAAAGCAATGACTGCACAAGCATGAGGAGCTGATTCGGATCCCCAGATTCTAGCCGTGTAAAGCGGGGTTCAGGAGCACACGTCTGTAATCCCAGGCTCCTAAAGGGAGATAGGAGGCGGAGATGGATTTCCCCAGAAGCTCCCGGGTCAGCTAGCTGCATACACACAGCAGCAAACACAAAACGCCGCCTCAAGAAATAAGATGGAAGGCAAGAACTGTCTGTCACCCAAGGTTTTCCTCTGACATCCATATGCATGCTGGGGCATGGGTATGCCTGCACTCAAGCAGAGGAACACAGAGACAGATACATACCCATGCGCGCTCTCTTTCTCGCTCTCTCTCTCTCACACACAGAGTTTTCTTTTTAAGTTAAGAAAATCTAGAGAGAAGGCTCAGTCATTAAAAGATTTGCCCTTTAAGCACGAAGACCTGAGTTCAATCCCCAGGACCCACATTAAAAGTGCCTGGCGGTTGTGCCTGTGGGCCCTGTGCTGAGGAGGCAGAGACAGGAGGACTGCTGGGGCTCGCTGGCCGGCCAGAATGGTTCCCAGGCCGATAAGAGAGACCCGTCTCAAACACAAGGTGTGTGATTCTTGAGGAACAACACCCTAGGTTGACCTCCAGGTTCCACACACTCATGCATGTACGTGCATGCACGCCTGTACAGACATTGAGCGTGCGCTCACGCAAAGGCTAATTTTATATCAGTGAGTTTTATTCCCTTCTGCTACCCCCAGATAAGCCAGCACTGCTGGACGACATTCACATTCAGATGGGTCTCCTGGCTGAGAGGCTGATGGAGAGGTCGCAGGAACTGACGCAGAAGGGTAGGAGATGGGCCTGTTCCTGTCCACTACCCCAGCCATCACCTCTGAGACCATGGCCTCTAGAACCCAGTTGGCAATCCCTCCTAAGCTCTCTCCAGGGCTGGCCTGCCCACCGCTTAGGTTTCTTCCATTAGTCCCCTAGTCCCATGTCCTGCTCAGGCTCCCAGCTCTGCCTGCCTCCCTAGTGCCTCAGTTTCTCCATTGTCTCACTTTCCTGGGCAGCCTGCAATGAGTCCTGTGGTGAGTATGCCCAGGGCTGAGGTGGAGGGAGGGATGAGAGACCCTGCCGTGCCTGAGGCTCCTGCCCATTGCTCTCCCAGACCTCCTCTCACCAATGGAAGTCACCGCATGTGCCAACTGCCAAACATACAGCCTGTCCTGCAATGACCCGACCGTCTGCACAGGTCGGTGGCCTCTGCCCCACTCACTGGACTTCGCTCCACCCATCTTCCCTTCCCCAGGCCCTCCACCTCTGGGTTTGCCATCTTTGTCCATCTCTCGTTTCTATCCAGCCTGGAGTGTTTCTGAATTTTCTTTTTGTGTTGGGTGAAGGACAGCAGAATCTTTGAGGTCCCTTGATGTCCTTGTGCCTGGCTTCAGAGCCCAGAGCCCCTCCTTCTGGTTCCTCTGATTGGGCACATCTGGAACATTCCCATCCCATCTCTACTCCTGGCTCTAGTCCACCTTCAGTGCACTTCCTAGCAACTGGCCTCACTCAGACCCCAGAGCCTAAACCGGAAGCCTCCCTCTACCTTCTCCCTCCCCCTCAGCAAAGCCCAAGTTATCTTGCTGCGGTTGACTCCAGCTTCTGCCAAGTGTGTGTGTGTGTGTGTGTGTGTGTGTGTGTGTGTGTGTGTGTGTGTAGACGGACAGAGGAGGAAGGGAGGGAGAGATATGTCTCACAGTAGTATGGTAGTCAGAGGTCAATCTCCAGCATCTGCCTTTGCTCTCCAGCTTCTCAGGCTCTCTTGCTCACTGCACAGCCAGGCCTTTAGGGGTCCTCTTGTGTCTACTGCTTCTCATCTTCCCCTGTAGGAATGAAGAGCTCACACACACACACACACACACACACAGAGAGAGAGAGACAGACAGACAGACACACACACACACACACACACACACACACGAGTGAGAGAGAGATATTACTGCATCTGACTTTTACCTGGGTGCCAGGCACCCCAACTCCAGCCATTAGGCTTGTGTGGCAAGCATTTTTTTCCAGGAATCTCATCTCTAGTGGCCCATGTTCTTTTTGGGAGTCTCTCATTGGCCTAACATTCATCAGATACACTAGGCTAGCTGGCCAGTGAGATTCAGGAAGCTGCCCCCAATCCTCCCAAGCACCAGGATTACAGGTGGGATGCAACTCAGGTCCTTGTGCCTGCAAGGCAAGCCCTCTGCTGCCTATGCCTCAAGCCTACACCACGCTTTCTCAGGCATGCCTCATGTCTTTCAGCTGCAGCAGTCTTTCCTCGCTGCTTCCTACTCCTCAGGTCTTAGCAGCCCCAAGTACAGAAAACACTTTGTGGAAGGGCAGAACTTCCCAGGACACACCCTGTTGCAAATCAGGTGCCCCAACTGAGCCTCCAAACATGTGGTTCCTCCTCTTCCTCCCCAGACAAGTCTGTTGGGACCTACAAGTGGGCCGTGATTCTTGTCAGCATCCTGCTGGCCCTGGCTGTAGCTGCCATTTGGTGAGTGACCCCTCTCAGCTTCAGCGTCCCCACGGGAACTCGCCCACTCTTCGCCTGACCTATCTCTCACTTTTTTCTTGCTCAGTGCTTACTTTTTCTGGCTCCAAACGAGGAAGAAGGAGAGGAAGAAGAAGAGGAAGAAGAAGGAGAAGCTTGATGAGGTACTAGGAAATGCACTCCTGTCTGGGGCTAGTAAGGCTTTGAGGCCTGGCTCTTGCCTTCTGGGTCTGCTGTATGCAGAGACATTTGAAGCTGGAACCAAGGACACACAGATAAGCAAAGTTTCTCAAGCCTCTTGTTCTCAGCAGTGTGTCCCTGAAGAGAGTCCTTCCCTCTCTGCCCGGCACACTGATGCAAACAGGGCCGCACGGTAATAAGAGCTTTGTCATCATACTCCCGGGTGGCTTTGGCCTGTGGAAGGGGAAGTCAGAGGTGCTGGCATTTCATTGGAAGGTCCCGTTTCTTTCCTCTTTGCAGGGAAGAAGCAGCCAGCTACCTCTTTCCAGAAGAGTGCAGCAACCAGAGCAGCAGCCAGAGTATAAACCAGAGCAGCAGCCAGAGCATAAACCAGAGCAGCAGCCAGAGCATAAACCACAGCAGCAGCCAGAGCATAAACCAGAGCAGCAGCCAGAATAGGTGGTTTCTGAAAACTGCTTCCTCTGTGACTCTGGTGACTGTCCCTCACACAAAACATCCTTCCCTGAGGCCAGGAGAGCTCTGAGGTTCTGCAGTTCTGCAGACAAGTCTCTCTCTCTCTCTCTCTCTCTCTCTCTCTCTCTCTCTCTTTCCTCTCTCCCTCCCTCCCTCTTTCCCTTTCTTTCTCCCTCCCTCCTCCTTCCTTCCCTCCCTCCTCCCTTCCAACACATACTTCCCTGTAAATAGTTCTTTTATTAAAAACATTTCTTCTTCTTTTTTTCTGGAGACTTGCAATAGTCAATCTTCATCATCTTGACTAGACTTAAAATCACTTAGGAACACTCTGCCAACAGGCACAGCTCTAGGCCTAGAAGTCACTTTCTTTGTGTGGGTGAAGGCAGGGTGGTGATTTTTTTTTTTCAATCATGTTGTGCTGGCTAGTTTTTATGTCAACTTACAACAAGCCGGAACCCTTTAGAAGAAGAAATCTCAGTTGAGAAAATATGACCAGATTTCCCAGTGGGGCAAGCCTGTGGTACCTTTTCTTGACTGATGGTGTGGGAGGCCACATCTCACTGTGTGCAGCACTGCCCCGGGGCTTGATGGTCTCGGGTACTATAAGAAAACAGGCCGAGGAATCCGGGAGAGCAAAGCAGTAAGCCCTGGTTTTCCATGGCGTCTGCTTCAGTTCCCGCCTCCAGGTTCTCGCCTGGAGTTCCTACCCTGCCTTGCTTCAGCGATGGGCTGAGATGTGTAAGATAAAATAAACCTTTTCCTTCTCGAGTTGCTTCAGTTTCTTTTTTTTTTTTTTTTTTTTTTTTTTTTTTTTTTTTTTTTTTTTTTTTGGTCTTGAATTTCTTGTGTTTTTGAAAAGCATAAAAATAAAGTCAAAACTAAATCTTACTAACCTGGTACCTGGCACAAGTCACTCCAATTTGCTTTGGGCCAGACGACTGGGCTTAATACAGGAGCGGGACATAAAACAGCATCTTTCCACAGTGTTGATTAACACCCTCTTATTTAGCACGGCCTTCCCTCTTCTTACACTGCGTCCTCTCTGGACGACCAGATCCAGGCACCTGGAAAGCTTGCGGTAGCCGCTCAGCACTTAGACTCTGGCTTCCAGCTCCAAAAGAACTGAGGAAATTCGGAGGACCGACCGTCGCGCATCTGCAAATACGGCCAATGCGACGACGTAGTGAAGGAAACGGGTTCTGAGAAACGCGTGATGGGTTAGCTCACTACTGCTGCACAACACAAAGAACAGCCCAGTCTGGGGCGGTGCCATGTCACCAAGTAAGATGAGCTTATGGAACCTGTGTTGTAGCCTATCACCGCCTCACACGGCGAGCCGACGAGCGGTGCACCGCTGTTTGTGGTTGGAGTGTGCAGCATCCCTCACAGGCCTGTGCGTTTAAACACCTGGCTCCCAGCTGCTGGCACCGTCTGGAAAGGTTGTAGAAATCTGGGGAGCTGGAGGATCCCTGGAGGGGCACTGGCAGCAGGACTTGAGGCTTTCCAGCCCGGCCCACTTCCGGTCCAGGCTCAGCTTCCTGCCGGTAACTAACCAGCATGTCTTCCCTGCTATGCTGGAATGATTCTGTCTAGGTGTAAGCCAAAATAGGCCTTCTTCGTTTTAAATCATCAAATCACTTTTTTTTTTTTTTTAGGTCTTTGGTCACTGAACACACACAAGTACTTAATACAACCACTAATATTATAAATCAATTTACTGTGCTTGAACTTTGAATAATATAATTACAGTGTCGCTCCACTGAGATGATCCTTTAGTAATTCCCTGACCTCTACGGGTATCCCAAATGAAGCACACATCTGCAGACTCAAAGCTGACAGCCACACATGAAGAAAACATGTGACGGTTGTCCCTCAGAATAATCGTCTTCAGTTCCATCCACTGATCTGTGGGTTTTGTAATCTCATGCTTCAATAATACTTTATTAGGTGAAGATATCATAGTTTCACCATTCACCAGTTGATGGGCATCTCGACTCTTTCCATTTCTTGGATATTGTGGGTACAGCAGCAGTGAACATGGATGAGTAAGTATCTCCATAGTAGGATATAGAGCCCTTGTGTAGATGACCAAGATGGATGTAGTTGGGTCATTTAATAGATGTTTTTACCATTTGGAGGAACCTCTACGCTAATTTCCACAGCGCTTTCACCAGATGACAGTCCCACCAATGGTTAATAAGTATTTCCCTTTCCCCACACCCACACCAGCATTTGTCATTTGTTTTTTTGGTCTTAGCCATTATGACTAGGGTAAAATGAAACTTCAAAGCATTTTAATATGCATTCCCCTAATGGCTAAGAAAGTGTTTCTCAACCATTTCTATTTATCTTTTGAGAAGACTATCTAGTTCTCTTTTTTTCTTTATTTTTTATTTTTATTATTAGTTACATTTTATTAACTCTGTATCCCAGCTGTATCCCGCTCCCTCATTCCCTCCCAATCCCACTCTCCCTCCCTCATCTCCTCCTTGCCCCTTTCCAAGTCCACTGACTGGGGAGGATCTCCTCCCCTTTTATCTGACCCTGTTTTATCAGGTATCTTCAGACTGGCTGCAAAGTCCTCCTCTGTGGCCTAGCAGGGCTGCTCCTCCCTTGGGGGGTGAGGAGGTCAAAGAGCCTGCCATTGAGTTCATGTCAGAAAGACTATCTAGTTCTAAGCACCATTTTAAATTAGCTTATTAGTTCTATACATTATTTTTAATTACATTGTTTTCATGATGTTTGTTATTTATTTAGTTTTTTTTATACATTCTAGAGAGCAACCTTCTGTCTGATTTTTTTTCTATCCTGTGCGCTGATCCTTTTCTCAAGTGATGGTGTCATTTGCTGCACAGAAACTTTTAGTTTCATGATGTAACATTATTAATTGTTGGTCTTAATGCCAGCACTAAAGGGATCCCGTTTTGGAAACCTTTCCATATGCCAATGAGTTCAGCTATTCCTTTATTTCTCCTCTATCAAGTTTATGGTATCAAATGTTATGTTGATATCTTTGATTCATTTGAAGTTGAGTTCTATGCAGGGTGAGAGATAAAGATCAATTTTCATTCTCTTGCATGTAGCAATGCAGTTTGCCTGGCACCGTATATTGTGGGTGGGTCTGCAATTCTATTCCATTAATCACCGAGTCTGCTTTTATGTCCTGCAATTTTCATCAGTATAACTGTGTGGTAAAACTTGAAATCTGGAATGGTCACACCTCCAGCAGTTTTTGTTGTTGTTCAGGGTTGTTCTGGCTATCCTGGATCTTTTGTGCTTCTATATGAAATTTGTTTCATCTATAGCCATATGAAATTTAGGGCTTGCTTTTTGCAGTGACTGTGAAGAATTGTGTTGGAATACTGGCAGGATGATGTTGAATCTGTAGATGGATTTTGGTAGGATAGCCATTTTCACAGTCTTAATCTTGTCAATCCATGAGCATGGCGGGTCTCTATAGCGTCTGCTGTCCTCTTTTTTTTTTTTTTTTTCCAGTGTCTTAAGATTTTCATTGAATAAGTCTTTCACCTCCTTGGTGAGATACATTCAAAGAAAAAATGGGAATCATATTGCTTCCTTGATTGCTTCCTGTGAGGCTCTCTGTGAACATCAGGGCTGACAGAGTAACAATCTGTATGAGGCAAGAAGGAAACCCAGTCCAACAATACTCAGTAGCTGGTGGCAGTTCAAACTTCTAGAGTCTGACACAAGAAGTTTATTTTTGCCCCGACCAGCGGGGGCTTCAACGGGGTTCCTAAGGGAGGAGAGTGGAAGGAATTGGGGGGGAGGACAAGAAGCGCAAGGAAGGGAGCCAAGTCTGTTTGTCTGATCAAGGCTTCTGTTTATTAGAAATTTTTACCCAACTTATATAGGGAGAAGGCAGGAAAGGGGGAAGGTAATTAGCTGCTGCAGGAGACAGGAAGAGTGCTTTCATGTGTTAAATAGGGTGCCTGCAAGATACCATAGGGATGTTTTCTCATGGATGCTCTAACAAACGGATGTCCTCACAGTCTCTCACCCATGAGTTAGGGTCCTAGATAACTTTCACTAAGCTTTAGGTCTCCACTAAATGACCTTTGCTCACTACTTGGCTTTGGCCTAGCAAACACCTTTTGTCTCCACTAGATAGCTTTGACTCACTAATTGACTTAGGCTTCAGTAGATAGCTTAGTCTTCACTAGATAGCTTTGGCTTTGGCTTCCATAGATAGCTTTGGCTCCCGGCATATTTTAGCTACATTTAAGCAAAGAACAATTTGGGGGAAATAAGAGGTTCATGATTATGATTAATTCAATCCAGTGTGTACAACAAAGCTTAAGACATGTTTACATGTGTTAGTGTGGTTTTAAGTCTAATAGTGTGTCTTTCATGAGGTTGCTTGTTAATATATTCAGTACATACATACCTTTAGGATTAGATTGCCTTTTGGTAGATTTCTCCCTTTTCTATCCATTTACTGTATATGGCAACTCTCAGCTTAGAGTTATATTTCTTGAAGGCAGCACAATGATAGATCCTGTTTTCTGATCCAATTTGTCAGAAAAGATCTCTTTATTGTGGAATTATTACCATTAATTGTTGGTATAATGTTCTTTTTGAGAGACCAAAATATTAAAAATCAGCAGTTATTAAAGTTTAAGGCCTAAACTATCTGGGTGGAGAAGTCCAGCAATGTCCTGAGGGGAAGAACCTACCATACTGCATTCTTTCCCCACCCACTAGAGATACAGTTGCTAGGAAACTGGCCCATCCCCCTAAGGAGGGATACCAGATCATTAAAGGTCTGGGGACCTTCCTATAGCCAATCAATTCAAAATATAGCATTTTGACCAATAGATGCTTGCCAGGCAGGAATTGCCCTTGCCTTGGGCATGCTGGGATGGACCAGAATCTTTAAATTGTCCAACTAACCTGAGCACGGGGCTCTCGGCTCTCACCGCTTTGCTGGTGGGGGGTGTGAGCCCAAGCTGCAGCTTGTAATTTACAATAAAAAGAACCTCATTTGTTTACAGTGGAGTCTTTAGTTTATTCCTGGTCTTTTGGGGTTCATGAACTGGGTAGAACATTTTGGGGGCTCGTCTCGGGATCCCAAGACTCCAGGAACCTGACCTGGAGGTTTTTATGCCGGCCGTAAGTGTATAAATGTGTCTGTGCAATGTTTGTATGTGTAGTACTTTCTGTTCTCTGTTCTGAAAATCCCTCAGAGCTCGAGGTGTCTGTATCTGGGTAGCAAGACGTGATCAATGTGGATGCACTGGTGGTCACAGCTGCCGAAGTTCAGGGGGACGCCCCTAGCTTCATCAGTATTTTCAGTATTTTGGTGGGTAATCTGTACTGCCTGGTCCCAGTGAGCACCACTCGGTGTCTCCTGGGGCAACAGCCCACTCTCGGTGTCTCCGGGGGCATCAGGGCCCTTGCCTCCTGCACCCAATGCAGAAGGAATCAGTATGTTCGGCCTGCCCCAGAAGAGTCAGTTTTGGTCCCGGGAAATTTGGCCAGCTGGTGAGTGTTTTTTGTCTCAATGTCTCTGTGCAGTA